TCCCTAATCTGATCTCTATTGTATCAAATCTCTAATCATCGATCCATCCCCAATTAATCTTGTAACCAGTCCATATCCTAGATGACTCAGATCAACAGGGTTTCTATCATCTCGTAACCCTATCCTTTACATTTTCGTCCTGTCCATTACATGTTGAAGTACATTGACACCGCCGTTGACCCCAAACGCTGCCTCGCGGAGGCTTAATTTCAAAGAGTCAAGCATGATCAGGGGAGCCTCAACATTCTAGACCTTGTCATCCCAATTATATTCATCGCCGCCATCAATATCTTGATCGGTGTTGATGGTCGCTTCTGCAAGGCAACCTAACTGACAATCAATTGGCCTCGAGTTTGGAGTAAAAGATCATGAATCTCAATGTTGATCAATTAGGGGTAAAAGATCAATATGATTGGTATTCTTTTTTCTTGGATAATTTTTTTTCTCTCTAAATTTATTAAGGATAATATTGTCGTTTTCAATTATACTAACGTCATATTACCAGAAAAGTAACGGCAAGGACTGGGTTAGGAAAAAACGAAGACATCAGGAACTTCAATAGACAAAATAAATTGTTGAGGGGCTTGAATAGGAAAAAGTGATAGTTCAGGGGCTATATTGTCCATTAACTCGTACATAAAATGTTTCCTTTGGATACTATTATGAAGTGTATGTGAAATAATTGAAATATTATCACGAATGTACCTAACTTTTTTTTGCTCTAAAGTCATATTTTAACTCTATTACTTACTATCCACACTACTATATCTTGCTTTCACCTACCTACCCAAACCCTTAGTAATTCATTTACTAAAAAGTTGGAACATGCATAAACATTTCCAGTAAGTTATACATGCATGTGTACTCTTATTATCAGCCAAGTTCCAAGTTTGTCAATTTGTACAGAACAGAAGGTAGAGCCCTCTCATTCCCCAACAATAGGTGGTGGAGCCTGTTCATGCTTCTTTGGTTGCCATCAAGGTTACCAGAGACTTGGCTGAATTTGCTGGCTCCATCCATTCTCAGGCAAAGTAGGTTCCGCCAAGGACTAAGACAAATGAAAAACTGTCAGACTGATATTTTATGATTCAGAGTAGACATGATATATATGGCAAAACCTGTCTGGACATGGTACGAGTGAGTTCGAGAAACAAATGATTAATGATTATATATTAATCTATTTCTGAACCGCTCCAAACAAATATGAATTGAAAAAAAATCTTATATTAACTTCTTTCTTACACGCATACAATAAAAATCAACCCATATGACCGAATCTTCTTATCAGGAATCAGGATGGCCATCGTAAGCTGCCAAGTCAAACCATTTGACAAATAAACGTAAATATCAAGTGAGAGAGTGTAAATCCATAAAAAAGCCAATTATTCTGCGCAGGGATCGAAGAGGCAGAGCATGCTAGACTGGCACAGTTAGCTAGGTTTCATAAAGCTTCACTACCAGTCCGTTATCTGGGAGTTCCTCTCATAGAAGGGAAACTTACTACAAGTGACTGTAGACTGTTAATTGAGAAGATCACAAAAACGCATTTCTGGATGGAAGCCTAAGATGCTCAGCTACAGGTAAACTCCAACGCATTACATCTGTCTTGAGTAGTCTATCCTATTTTTGGATGAATGTTTTCATGTTGCCTCTGTCCATCATAAAGGAGATAGAGCATAAACGTTGTAAGTTTCTTTGGGGCATAGATGATGATTCCATAAGGAAAAAAGTGGTAATGGCCTGGGATTTATTAGGTGTCCCAAAAAAGGAAGGGGGCTAGGCATTGGTTGTCTAAAAACATGGAATATAGCTTGCACCACGAGACACGTCTGGGCTCTGCTTGCCAAAGAGGGGTCTTAGTGGGTTGCGTGGAATTACAGTATCGTATTAAACATCTCACTTTCTGGGAATTAAGAACAGGTAGTACTGCTTCTTGGGTTTGGAAGAGATTGCCAAAGGTCAGAGATAAGGTGGAAGGTTTCATTCGTTGTTGGGAACACAAGTTGATTGGAATGATAAGAGGGTGTTGAGATACTCTGTAAAACAAGTTTGGCAGGATTTACAGCCGGCTAGACCTTTAGTTCACTAGTATCAGCTTGTATGGGGAAGACACTCTATTTCTAGACATAGTTTCTTGAGTTGGATTGTGGCAAGAAACAAGATTACTACACTGGATCAGTTGGAGGGTTGGGGGAAGCTGTTGGATGATAAATGTCTACTATGTTCTGCTCATACAAAGAATCGAGACCATCTATTCTTTCAATGTTAATACACGTTCAAACTGCTGAAGGGTTGCCTGCAAATGCTTGATCAGAGATGTCCTCAGCTAGCTAACTATGAAGACTACTTGATGTAGGCAGTGAGGACTTTCAAAGGTAAGAAGGTGTTAGCTATGGTTGGTCACTTGGTTTGGAATTTAGTAGTAAGCATGGTTTGGAGGGAAAGGTGTGGCAGACTGTGTGGGAGTAAATCAACGTTGTATGGGGAGGTACTTTGTACCGTTCGAAAACTGATTGAGTTGGCCAGACATGAAATTGCAGCATTGGATATAGATCGCCGAGCAGTTTTTATTCAGTAAGCACTAGTTAGTAGCAGAGTGTAGTAGTGCAAGTTTCTTTGTTTTGTGTACAGTGTAGTTTGATTTTCTGTAAGTCTGATAGAGCAGAAATGTAAACGATCAAGATGTGTTAACCCTGTTTGGGGAACACATAGAGCTTAATAAATTTTTTTATATTGCCCATAAAAAAATTCAACTAGTGGCATCAATGAAAATTCACCAAGACGATTAAGTGCATGGGTAGAGAATTTTGAATTTGCGTAGGAAATTAAAGAGAAACGGCAGCTGGCGAATAGGGTTAGGTAAGACATGTGAGTTCTTTTTTCTTCGATAATTTTTTTCTCTCTAAATTTCTTAAGGAAAATATTGTCTTTTCAATTATACTAACGTCATATTACCAGAAAAGTAACGGCAGGGGTTGGGTTAGGAAAAAACAAAACATCAGGAACTTCAATAGAAAAATAAATTGTTGAGGGGCTTGAATAGGAAAAAGTGATAGTTCAGGGGCTATAAATCGTATGTGAAATAATTGAAATATTACTGAATCGCTATTCGTCGCCCTAGAATTCAAATTTTATCGCCCTAAAAATCAACAAATTAACATATTTACCTCTCAAACCAATTTTAATTATAAACTCTAACCAAACAATTCATATTCCCTTCCTCACCCCCAATCCAAATCCGCCGCCGCTCAAATCGAAGAAGAAGGCGTCGCCTGCTCCTACTCCTGCTCCGTAGCCTCTGCAAGCCTGGCTGTCTACCCCTGCTGTTCATTCGTCTCTAATCCCAAAAGCTACATAGAATTTGCAGCATTTTCAGTCAAAACACAATTTTTCCAAGGTATTCTTCTGCTCTGTAATTTTCCATGCCTTTTTGGAACAACCCTTCGTCAAAGTTCATTTATTGATATATAGCACGTAATCTCATTGTCTGCTTCACATGAACAATTGTTCTACAGAGCAACAACAATACTACTTAGGCTACGTTTCAGATTTCTCTCCTTTGCACAACATTACTACTTAGACTACAACCAAGAAGACGAAAATTCTTGTTACGACATTGACGGCAAGGAACCCTACTTCATTTATATAGTAATCTCTCTTCCACATTAAAAAAAATTAAGGGCATTCGAGTAAAATTAATTTAATTAGCGCGACGAATAAAGATTTTTAGGGCGAAAAATATTATTACAAATGTACCTAACTTTTTTCCCCCCTACTAAAGTCATATTTTAACTCTATTACTTACTATCCACACTACTATCTTGCTTTCACCTACCTACCCTAACCCTTAGTAATTCAATTACTAACTAAAAAGTTGGAACATGCATAAACATTTCCAGTAAGTTATACATGCATGTGTACTCTTATTATCAGCCAAGTTCCAAGTTTGTCAATTTGTACAGAACAGAAGGTAGAGCCCTCTCATTCCCCAACAATAGGTGGTGGAGCCTGTTCATGCTTCTTTGGTTGCCATCAAGGTTACCAGAGACTTGGCTGAATTTGCTGGCTCCATTCTCAGGCAATTAGGTTCAGCCAAGGGCCAAGACAAATGAAAAACTGTCAGACTGATATTTTATGATTCAGAGTAGACATGATATATATGGCAAAACCTGTCTGGACATGGTACGAGTGATATATTCAGAGTAGAAACAAATGATAAATGATTATATATTAATCTATGTCTCAACCGCTCCAAACAAATATGAACTAAAAAAAAATCTTATATCAACTTCTTGCAATTATAGTATAAAGAGTTAAAATATGACTCATAGAGTAAAAAACTTATGATTATGTTTGGAAACAAGATGGTAATTATATAATATTATTATGGTATCCTCGACTGCAGGGGCGAAGTCAGAATTTCGTTGTCGGTGCTTCAAAAATAAAAAAAATTGCCTATTCTTTTGCTTTAAAAGATATATTTGTAAAGTCATATTGCATATTATTTTGGTTAGCTAATTTTCATTATTTACATAATTCAAAATACACATTTACAAATAAACGTAAATATCAAGTGAATCAAAACAAGATATTATCCAATAAGACAAGAAAAAATTCTAATAAAGTGGAATTTAAGTGTAGACATTGAATGTACGAAAAATCACTCAACGTAAAACAGGAAAAGTAGCTAAATTTAAACCTAAACATACAATGTAGAAAAAATCACCCAATCGTAAAATAGAAGAAACAACTATTTTTTTATATTTGATTTTCTTTTTGCTCGACTGAGTATTTTCTCTACCATTCAACGTTTTATATTTGATTTTCTTTTTGCTGATATCTTCAATTATTACACTTGACAATTTGACTATATATAGTCGTGACTCGTGAGTCCTCGCCACCTTTGCCATCATTGCACATTAATAGTAGTCGTTAGCATTCACAGCTTACTTCGAAGATATAACAGCCAGCCAGCCGCTGCCATGAATGCTATTATTTTTATGTCTTCTTCTTCATTACCACTTCCGTCAGCTGCTAACTCGCCGGCGACTCAAACACAGGCGACCGCCGGAACGGTGGATCATGTCTCATCAGCAAGCCTCCCTCGCACAGTTTGGGGCAATGGCTTCCTCGACCACAGATTTGATTATGCGTCACTCCAGGTTAACTTATTACCTGTGCTGCTCTTGATCGTTTTTTTTTTTTTTTGTGTGCATAATTTTTTAGAAGAATTTGTTGGATTCAAAATTTAAAGCTTGCTTAATTATTTTTTTTAGGCGAACCATAAACAGCCAAAACACGAAGTTTTGAAGCAAGAGGTGAGGAAGATGGTGATAGATTACGATGTAAAAAGTGGAGACTCTGAGTCACATATTGCAGATAAGCTACGACTGATAGATGCAGTACAACGGCTAGGCGTTGGATATCACTTCGAGAAGGAGATCGGAGAAGTTCTTGAAAGAGTTGATGATTTAGGAGATGACTTATTTTCTAACATTGGTGACAAAGGTTCCGATCTCTACCATGCAGCTCTCCGGTTTCGACTCCTGAGACAACAAGGGTTTCCTGTATCGCCGGGTAAGTATGTATACATAATTACAAGTTAGTTAGAACAATTTCTATTATATACGATTAATTGTGGATAATCATATGTTAATCTGCTATGCACACATGTATGTGTAGATGGGTTTAGAAAGTTGAAAGGAAGCGAAGGAAAGTTCAAAGAGTGGTTGGCGAAGGACGAGAAAGGATTGTTGAGCTTGTACGAGGCAGCACACATGGCATTCAATGGAGAAGATATATTGGATGAAGTCCTGAGTTTTGCTACAAAGACCCTTGAGTCAATCTTCCCAAACAAGATAACCAACCCTTCATTCCAAAAGCAGATCGACTTTGCCCTTCGCGTTCCTGCTTGGAAATGTGTCCCGAGGTCCCTTGCTAGACACTCCATCGATTTCTACTCTACGGACTCTTTCCACCATGAAAAACTCCTCGCCTTTGCAAAGTTGGACTTCAACATAGTTCAAAAATTTCATCAGCAGGAGCTCTATGAAGTCTCTAAGTGAGCTCTGTCAACCTAATATATGCACACATTATTGTAATATTGTATTAGTTACTCACTAATCACCTCTCTTGGTTTGGTTTTGTTATATACACATACATAGTTGGTGGAGAAGTATTGACGTGGCGACCAAATTTCCCTATGCAAGAGACAGGCTTATGGAGAGTTATTATTGCGTCAATTCTATGTATTTTGAGCCCAAATACCGGTCGGGAAGAATTATAGCCACCAAAATCTTCTTAATGTTGGCTATATTGGACGACACTTACGATAACTTTGCTACATATGAAGAGGCGCATGCCCTAACGGAAGCTATTGAAAGGTTCTTATTGCATAATCCATATATGTGTTAGATTGGCTATTTAGATTAGTTGGAGCGCTTTCTGTTAATAATTGATTGTGGAATTGTATGTGTATTTTATATGAGCATAATCCTACAGGATGGATGTTAGGGCTCTCCAAGAACTACCCGACAGGATGAGAAATGTATATAGTGTCATCCTTAATCTATATGATGAAATCGAGAAGGAAACTGGAAAAATAGGACCCACTTTCGGTGTCCAATATGCAAAGGCAGAGGTACGTAATCTGCGATAAATAATCCACATAGTATGTCAAGAAAAAGATTAGTCAATTAAATCTTCATATTGTTATAACATATTGCAGCTCAAGAAATTGTCCCAAGCCTACTTGGGTGAGATTCGGTGGCGCAATGAAGGTCGGGTTCCGACACTGAGAGAGTACATTATCAATGGAGTTGCCTCTAGCGGTGTGTCCAAACTTTGCACATCGTGTTTCGTTGGTATGGGAGCAGAGATAGCCACCAAGAAGGCTTTTGAATGGGTAACTAATGAGTCTAAAATGATGAATGCTGGTTGTCTCATTGCTAGGGTTCAAAATGACATTTTCTCTCACGAGGTATTTTCCCCCCTTCTTTTATGAATCTTACAAAGTGCTTAATTAGTTACGATAGTTTTTTTTTTTTTACTGAAACCTATGTTACTTGTATTAACCAGTGGGGCGTGTGTTTTTTGCACAGTTTGAACAAAAGAGGAACCATGTGGCTTCAGCCGTGGAATGTTGTATGAAGGAGTATCGAGTGTCGGAGAAAGAAGCTGTTGAATTCCTGTGGAAAGAGATTTCTAACGCGTGGAAAGATATTGTCGAAGAGTATTGTCAGAAACCGACCTTGTTGCCATCAACCGATCTCACGGATCGTCTCCTCAATTTGACACGTCTAATCAATATATTCTACGACGATGGTGATTGCCTCATCAATTCCCACCTTTTGAAGGATCATCTCACCTCACTTTTCATTGATCCTGTGCCTCTTTGAAGAAATCATTGACATTTGAATAATTTACTATACCGATGTTTTTTTTTTTTTGGTGATGTTTCTTGTTGCTCCTGCTTGCTCTTCTTGCTTTTGGTTCTTTTCTTTTTGCGTTCATCTTGTGTTTCCTTGCTTTCCTGAACAGTTATCATCACATCCTGAAATCGTCAATCTTTCTTACATTAATACGTTGGATTACCCGTACACAAAGTTGTATAATGCCTTCACCTAAGTTTATCTTACTTCACCCAAAAACTACCTAGCTAAATGGTTGCAGCTCAACTAAATTCTTGAGCACATCACAATGTTTCGTTAATTGTTTTTTTATCAATCGATATCACGTTTATATTTTAAATAAATGTCATCGTATCCGTACAATCCAAATCAACCGTGATTAGAAAAAGGTAAGCTCATTATCAATACTATAATATTTGAAAAAATATGTAATTAACATGCGATTGTATGGTATTACAAGGAATACTTTTCAAGAACCTGTTGATACCAATAACTCGAGTGATTGGGAGAGATTCAATCGTGGATCATATACCATTAAACAACATACCCCCTCAAACGAAATCCACCATATGTATATGGGCTTGAAGTTTGCATAGATCCAAACACCATGTCCTTAATAAAACATATGGGGTCACCGAGATTTTAACACAAGACCTCTCGATCCAAAAGGCTCTGAAATCATTTCAATCAAACCACATACGCAAATCATGTAGAGAACACAAGACACATCATTTACGTGGTTTCCCTGTTCGATATGAACATGACTACTCCACGAAGAGCGACAAACTATCAGTCAATATTATTATCAACGTAGAATCTTTAACCTAGTTACATGGCCGAACTTATATATATATATATATAGGGTGTCGTATTCGGTGCACCCACTTTTTCGGGGCACCCGCTTCATAATTGTCATTCTGACCATGCGATTCATGTCAAAACGGTATCAATTGTTGCTTATGATATAATGAACAAGAAGCACATGAATTTGAAAAAAAATCATTCAAAATTTACTTTAATTCGAAGGATTTAGAGATTTAGAGATTTAGGGTTTAGGTTTACAATTTGGGATTTTGGGTTGGGATTCAAAATTCAAGGTTAAGGGGTTAGGGTAATGGATTGATTTGTTATGATTCTATGTCATATCATCATATTATATTGAGAGTACTAATTAAAGTTCAAAATTTGATGTATTATGGACGCTTTTAGAGTTGGGTGCACTCAAAGTGAGTGCACCGAAGTAAAAACGTGCTATACAAATTTGTACTTATACTGAAACCCGCTACTTTTGCTACAACACGTAGGTATTGCCTAACAGCGGCCCAACGCCTTCTTGAACATTGATGTTATATAGAGATATAGGGGTCAGACTGGTGTACTCCTGGAGTATACTATACTTCAGGTACTCCTAGCGAGACATCTCCATCTAGACCATGAATTTAATCGAATTTGGGGTATGATACTATACCCTGACCTGTAATGAATAGACTTCAGGCCTTGATTCTCTCAACTCAAGTCCGAAATTCAATTTAATGGAAAATAATAATTGATAATTGAAATTGGTCGAATATCATCAAATCACATCTAACCGTCAGATCACCTGAATTATACTATACTCAAAGTAAACCCGTCTTTACCATGGATATAGATATTACTTTTATTCATTAATGAATTCCATGACATGAACCGCCATTGGCAAGTTACAACATGACTCAAACCATTAACTAAAAAACACTTGAAAACTGCAACAAATATATTAAAAAGCTCTATGAATGCAAACCATGCATGCAAGCATCCATCCATGATCCATATATATAGCTCTCCTCCACCGCCTTCTTTATTTAGTACTACTCCAAGCACCGCTTCTCAAACGCCATGTCGTCATGTCTACAACTCCCCTCGAAACGGCGAGGCAGTAGGATGCCCTTCATCATGGCAACAAAGGAAAGTGGTATACTTCTCCATATACCTATGACACTCAGGACACTGTGTCCAGATCGGGTCAGTAACTGATGGGTCAGTAACCCATCAGTAACCCCTTCTATGATTCCCACGTATCAGACATTTTTTTATTTAAATTAAATGTGAAAAGGGCAGTACAGTAAAATTGCACTTTCTCCTATTTATTGTCGAGGCTGACTTTTGACCGTACCACATCAGCGCCTCCTTCTCTCTCCTCGCAAAACATTTAATTTTCCTTCTCTTAATTTTTAACGGACGATTTCTCACTCGTTTTAAGTCGAAATTTAATTTTTTTTGCACAGTTAGATCAGATTAATTGTGCTCTTCAAAATGATATCCACTTTGATATTTTTTGGACACAAAAAAAATTGTCAGTTATTACCAGTCTATACCATATGGTATAGAGTGGTAATACCATATGATATAGTGTGGTAATATCAATATATATTTCGTTACCACCTAATACCATATGGTATAGAGTGGTAATACTAATATATATTTCGTTACCACCCAATACCATATGGTATAGTGTGGTAATATCAATATATATTTCGTTACCACCCAATACCATATGGTATAGAGTGGTAATACCAATATAGATTTCGTTATCACCCAATACCATATGGTATAGTGTGGTAATATCAATATATATTTCGTTACCACCCAATACCATATGGTATAGAGTGGTAATACCAATATATATTTCGTTACCATATGGTATAGTGTGGTAATACCAATATATATTACCTAAAAGAAAGGGGGGAAACAAAAAGAGGGAGAGAAAAAAAAAACTTGTCTTCTGTCTCATCTCATTTAATCCGCAACCAAAGAACACCAAACGCCAAAAAAGGAGAAAGATCGAAATTAAAACCAACGAGTTGATGAAGAGAAGAAACGCAATTAAAGAGGGTGACTTCAATTTTTATTAGTCGATTGCTAGAGAAAAAAATAAAGATGGAAGAGAGCAGATCTAGATTTGAAAAGGAGATTGTGAGAGAAAAAGTAAGAGAGAATGAATAGAGAAAGGATCTGGAAAGATATTGGAAAAAGAAAGAGAGAAGGAAGAGAGAAAGAAGAAAATAGAGTTGCAGAGAAAATGTTATTCTTTTTCTTTCATTGAAAAGTCAGCCATTGAAATGCGAAATAAAAAAAATTAAAAATACAAAAACTAAACAAAAATGCCCCTCCCCACCTCCGCGTCCAGCCAGCCACCTGATTGCTCCATCCCCAGATCTACGGTTCCCGTGTATTTACTGATAGGTCAGTAACCATTGGTTACTGACCCTATCCCAAATCCAGGACACTTCATCCCTTCAGTAATCCTCCCCGCAGTATTAGGAAACTCGAACCTGCAACAAGGGTAAGTCACCCCATGGACCTTCTTGTGATGATCATCGTACGCCAGATCGAAACCCTTCACCGGAATCTCTTCCTTCCACAGATCGTACTCCACCAGAGTCGTCAGCAACGTGTTGCCGTGCCCGTTCGATATGATGTTCGACCCTTTGCTCAAAACGGCCCACCCTCCTTCCGTGTCGTAGCTCAGCAGCTTCTTGATCTCCAGCATCATGAGGTCATGGTCGTCGAGCTTGCCCTGCTGGATCTTGCTGAACAGCATGCTCTCGAGGCGCGTCCAGAAGAACCAGATCATGGTCGGGTCCTGCCAGAAGTAGCTGAGCTTCTCCACGGTGATGGTGGCGAGGACGCGGCGGACGAGCTCTTTCTTCGTGCTCTTCCCCACGTAGGCCATTTCCAGAGGGATCCGCGAGGCTACTGCGACTCCTCGGGCCGTGTTGGTGAATTTCCGGACCCATTCTACGTCGTCTCCGCCGTAGAGGAAGATGTACTTGCCGTCCTTGATCTGGATTTTGGAAACAGGGGAGAAAACAGAGGAAAAAACAGAGGAATTTTCAGATTATAGCTTTGCTTTGGAGTTGGGAAACAGGGGAGAAAACAGAGTAATTTTCAGATTTTAGCTTTGCTTTGGAGTTAGGAAACAGGGGAGAAAACAGAGGAATGTTCAGATTTGAGCTTTGGTTTAGAGTTAGGAAACAGGGGATACGATGGGTGGTGGAGGATTTGAGGAGCACTGGAATCAAGATAAATGGGGTTGGAGATTTGAGGAGATACGATGACTAGTTTTATTTATATAAAACTAGTTATTTAGCCCGCGCTATGCAGCGGATTATTTGATCTATTTTTTTTAAAGAATATGACGTAATAATACATTATCATTTCAAGATTTTAATTTTTTTATTGGATATCTTTTTTGTTCGATTTGTTTTGTTGATCAAAACATGTGGAGTCTTTCTACATGCAAGGCTTATTCTTCCCGGTTTCTTAAATATTCCATATTTGTGTCGTATTAAAGAAACGTAAAACTCGATATAGATCCTAGATCTCACTCTGTTATGATTTTAAATTGGCCAATACTAATGGCTCTGGCCACATAATTTGTGATTCATAGAAATGTTTGATTTTGTTTAATTTGTAAAATCATTTGCTCACTCATAATTGATGATTGTGAACTTGATATATATATTCAAATCATTTTACCTATAATCCTTAAGCCCGAAGCACAAACTTCAATACTACCATAACTATCTAAATTGCTCCCGGTTCCACTTAAGGAATGGATTTTACCATTCCATGTTTGTATATCATGATGTAAAATGATCATGTCCATCACCTACCTTGAAAAGAATAACATATAGTCATATAGAGCAACCGAAAAGGGAAATGAAAGAATAGGGCAGAGAATCAAAATTAAGACTAAGAAGTCACTTGTGCATGATCTAGTTGGATCTACCAAATAAATCAGTGGTCTTTCGATGCAAATCACACTTTTATTCCACTGCGTTGTTGCGCGTGTCGTGATATGAGCTGCTTCATTGACTTCTCGTCTATTATGAGAACAGACTCCTCTCCGAGGCCTGCAAGGGGCGCTTTATATTCCTTCCAAAGCAATCAATCTCCAAAATCGGATTTGACAACTCAAATTGGTGTGTGAGCTCAGCTGAGCACCC